CATGTCCCATACCTCAAAGTAAAAAGGTGGTAACGAATTATCATTTCCTTGAATTTTCTTAAAAACCTTCCTGGAAGCTAGTTAGCATCTTTGTATATGAGGTGGGAGACGAGGTGGTCCAGAAATAAGAAAGAGTAGAAAGGAGATTTCTTACTAGGTATCCTTTTTAATTATTTGAATTTATATGAATTGAATGTATTATCTACTCAAATAAAATTTAAATTTAGAAAATTCACCGAGACCATTTTCAGAAACTACATTACAACTCTCTAGAATAGCCTAGAAGTAATTTTTTTAAAATACTGCACATACCCTTGACTTTTACAAAGATTGTAATTTTCCGAACTATACTTCAAACACGTCATAAATGCTACCCTATTGTTTCAGTCCAATCTCCACTCACCAAATGTGAAATGAGAACACCAGCAAAACATGATACATAGTTCTTTTTTGTTCTCCCTTCCACCACAGAAGTGCTAAGGGGAAACAAAATGTATTTGCCAAAAGAAAAAAATTGCTAAAAAGCATACAAATAATCATAAGTCAAACTACCAAAATGCATCTGTACCGTCATATTAAGAGTTGTCCAAAGTATGGTTTTCATACCATTGACGCAAATGGTGACTTTGTGAAACAATATTTTAATAGTTATGAATTTGCTTTTCATAGTTAATTATACCTAATACACCAAATCAGTGACTTCACAAAATATCAGAGTGCCTACAATGAGGAATCTACTTAAGTGAAATCGTGAATCCATCTGAAAACAAAGAGTGCACACGTGTGAGTAAAGTTTGAGAACCACTGGTGCATTACCCAAAGATCAAGGGCACACCAGGAATGATCACCAAACAGAATCAACCACACTGAACCTGAAATTAGACCAAACTTCATGCATATGGGGAAACTCCCTGAAAAGCTGGTACAATTAAATGACACCAGTGCTCTCCTCTTTCTTAAAAGTTACGGAAATTAAGCAAACCTAAAGTTTAAATAAAGTAACTAAGGGTAAGACTCGGAGCTTGGTATAATCCTTGAGCTTCTGGCAAATTAAGCTGAAAAATGGTATTCCTTCCCACAGACCTTTCATGTGCTGTGAACAATCATCTCTAATCCCTTTTACGTCAGATAGGTCACTCTGCAGGCTCTGGCTCACCTTCCCATCCTGCAATCTCCCACCCTAAGGTTTCCAAGGCAGTTCTAGGGCTTGAAGAAAACCTCTACAGTGGATCAGTCTCCAGGAAAAGGAATGAATCAGTCTCCGGCAGAACTTCTGTTTAGTATTCTCTGTGATTCTTTACTGCCTCTTCTCACTTCTGTTACTGCTATGTTGCCCCTCAACCACCAAAACATCGTGGCTGGCTGCGACTCAGTCAAAGCCTGCACTTATCTGTCAGACCCTTATATTCTGAGACTACCCCTCTGCCTTAGGCCTCACACTCCCATTTAAAAAAAAAAATAATTAAAGGGGCGCCTGGGTGGCTCAGTCGGTTAGGCGACCGACTTTGTCTCAGGTCATGATCTCACAGTTCGTGGGTTCAAGGCCCGTGTCGGGCTCTGTGCTGACAGCTAGCTCAGCGCCTGGAGCCTGTTTCAGATTCTGTGTCTCCCTCTCTGTCTGACCCTCCCCTGTTCATGCTGCCTCTGCCTCTCTCTCTCTTTCTCTCGCTCTCAGAAATAAATTAAAAACATTAAAAAAAAAAAAAAAAAAAAAAGATTGTCCTTCTCCCAGGCCGGACTTGGTTAGGCATGGATTAAATGGCGGAGCACAAACTAATCCACCAGGTGTGAGTGCCAATCCACCTCACCTTATTCTCCCAAAAGTATGTGAATTAAGAAAAGTGCATTTTAAAAGAAATAATTAGAGAAAGTTTATATGAAAGAATTCCAGGCTACATAGAGGCAATTTAGAGCAGATAAAAGGAGATCTCAGGGCTCACTGCAGGACCACTTGAAGGCCAGCTGCCAAGAGACCTCCCTCAGGCAGTCTCACAATCTGGAATAAGAGTAGTGAGAGTGGACAAGGGTTGTCAATGGGCTTATTAACCAGACTTCATTTACGTATGATCAGTTTCCACCACAAACTATCCTAACTGTCCTCATTTAGTACAGTTTGCTCACTTTAGAAAAAAGACATCTGAACATAAGAAAATGTAAATCGCCTCAAAAACTATACTGATCTCCTGACTATAGCCAAAAAAGATACTTCCGAATCAGACAGTTACTCGCCATCAGTATGATGCCATGTTGGGGGATCTATATGGTTACCAAGATTCTACTTTATTCACATTACATTCTTAAAAGAAGATTATCACAAATAATCCCAGAGAGTGAGATCCAAAGTGCTGACAGATGGTCCCAACTGGAGCCCCTCTCTCATGTCACAAGATCAATTGCCTACACAAGCACATTCACTTGAAAATGGAGTTTCAAATTCAGATTTCAGTAGACATAACTTTAGAAAGGGTATATTTAAGATAAAACGTAATACCCACCACATCTCAAGCAAAGGACACTAGAAATTATCTGCTTTGAAAATTACCATAACCTGGATACCAAAGCATGATGTTTGCCTTCACACCTAAGAATACCATGAGAAAAAACATTCTGTTTTAGAAATTAGGCCTGGCACTTGCAGTATTTCTTTTTTCTTTTATGTTTCGTAACTGCCTTTAGTCACTTGATTCTATTAATAAAGACTTAAAGAAAATTAAATACCCATATCAAACTATAATTTGGTAGACAAGAGGGTAAAAACTAGGAGACTGAAAATGGAACACAGACGATTCACCAAATGAATCAGATAGGCGACTGTCTGAATAGCATGGCACACTCCGGTAATACCCTCAGACCCTATATGTTCCTTGCAAAGTTCCCTGATACCAAGCAAAGACAATTTGTCTAAAACAAGCTCCTGCTTCAACAATTTCTGGCAGTTATTTTATCCATCTGGGATGGGTCCCACATTCCCTAAAATGAGGCCTGCAATCACATCCCCCTTCAATTAATATCTCCCCTCTCTCTCTCTTATGGGAAGGTATTTTACTTTTCATCTTCTCTCTCAAATTCTGCCTATCCCACCCCTCAATCCTTATATGGTCCCTAAAAAGGAAATGCTCCTTCCACCTCTCCAAATCCAGACCCTTCACTCATTCTCTTCCTTTCAGCCTTTAACAAAACATAGATTTCCTGGAATGGATGGACAGGCAGGCAGACACAGAGGGGCACCCGAATGCCCGCATACATACACATACACACACACCCTTCCCGCCCCTTTACTTAAAGTCCTTTAGGCTTCCTTACACTTCAGTTTGAACATTTTTCTTAACTCCCACCAATCTAGTTTATTTGAACTCTATGAAGCTGCAAGCACAGAAGGTCACTGACTCCCAATAGCCAAATACCAGCTGACCAACTTCTCTTTTTCTAAGCTCATGCCCTTTTCTGTTGGCTCCTCCATGGCCTCCACTCTCCAAGAGTTCAAGGTGTGGTTAGACCCTGGAGTCTTTCCACCCTCCAGCCTACGTGATCTCCTTCACTCTCCTCTGTAGAAATGATACTGGGGATCCATCTTAGACCTGACTTTTCCCTCAGATTCTAACTATGTATCTTCAGCCACCAGTAAACACCAAGTCCTTGCCTCCGTCTTCATTAGCCCTTCCACTTTGTCCCAAAACTAAATTCACCAGAACCTTCCCAGGATTCTCACTCAACTCCATCTCCCCTTCCCCCTTCACAGACAGTCACCTGGGTCTGCTTTTGTTTCCATATTAACATTTTAACTCCTATTCCCACTATGGTTGCAGGCTTGCTTCTTCTCCAGAGTTCAAAAATGACTGCCATGTCTAGAATTGGATGTTATGGACTCCCTTATCATGGGGTAGCACTTGCTCTCAACTGAGTCATGAAAGAAGGGTGCAGGAGAAGGGGGGAGAAGCTCAGGTAGAGCCCCTGCCTTAACCTCACCGGCCACAGTCCTGCCTTTCACCTCAGCTACCAGACTTTCCTTTCCATAAGTTTCTGTTCAGCCTAGGAGTTGAGAAGGCTGCCCCAAACTCTTGAATAAATCCATTAAATAAAATCCTTTCTTGATCGAATCACCACTAGGAATAATGCAATCTAAGGATACCAGACCTTTAATGTTATTTAAAAAAACACAAAACCAAAAACCCTTTCCAACCAGCTTCTACAGGCTAATTTCAGCCAACTATCTATCCCCAGGTCCTAGAGCAGTAATGAAATAATCTAGGTAAAACACCTTCTATAGAAAACCTGCTTTCTGAAAGAAAAACAAGTAACTAACAACTTGTGTCACAATTTTCTTCAGGAAAAGTTGCCTGTTCTTCCTCATGCTACACTAGGAGAGCTGAACAGCTCGATTCAGCCGTTTCCTAGGAATCAGGTCTGTGCTGCTGCGGAGTTAAAGAAGAGCTGCTTCCACACAGCAGTCAAATCATGAAGTTGCAACAGCGGCTGTTCTGTTAACCTGCAGCTAAGAATAACACTCGACTTTCTAATTAAAGAAAGAAAGAAAGAAAGAAAGAAAGACTTGGAAAGTAAGTCCCTGGGCCAAGGATCTAGAGAATGAGAAGAGGAAGGGGCTCCCTGTACTGACCCCCCTCTATTATCACCCAGACCCTTGGGTCCAATTCAGCCCGCGGGGACACGCGGAGAGCGCCGGGCGGGGTGAAGGGCGCCCACCCCGAGAGGGTGGCAATTTGCAGGTGTCACGGACCGGCCCCCCCACGCGTTTAACCCGGCTGGAACTCGCGGTTTGGGGATGGGTTTCCGGGCGGATCGCGCTCACTCTTAATTGACAACGAGGTCGGGGCAGGTTCGAGGCAAACAAGGAGGAGGAAAAGTCACAAGGGGGGCTGGGGAGAAGGGGTGTCCGCAATTCGGGGGAGGCGGGAGCCCGGCCCTCCAAAGGGCACCCCTGCTGGCCCGCCGGGGCCCGAGGGACTGGGCCCTGCCCCGCGCGCCCACCCGAGCCGCCCTACCGTGGCTCTGCAGGATCTCGTGCTTGAGGCCGCCGGTGTAGTCGATGAGCTCCTCCAGGCCGCGCTCGCACAGCTGCCCGTAGCCCGAGAACTTGTGCAGCACCTTCTCCAGCTCGCGCTCCACCGTCACGCACTGATCCATCCCGGAGGCGGCGGCGGCGCTAGGCTCCCCGGCGCCCGGGTGTCCGCAGCCGTTCGGCCCGGGCCCGGCCGAGGCCGCGTCCTGCTCCTCGTCCCCCAGGCGGGCGGCGCGGGCGGCTGAGGCGGCTGAGGCAGCGGGCGCGCTAGCCGCGGCGCCGGGGGAGCCCCGCGCAGCCAGTGCCCGCCTGCCCCATGCCCCCCCGGCCCCCGGAGAGTCGCCGCCGCTCCCGCTCGCTCTCCCCACCCGGCCCTGCGACCCTGGTCCTCACTCGCCGCGTTCTGCTGCCCGCCGCAGCGCCGCCGATTGTTTTTGTTTTCACGGAAACCGACCGATGACCTGGTTCTCCCGGGCGGCACCAAGCGCCGCCGACCCAAGGGGGGGGGGGCAGCCACCCCAGCAAGGGAGAGAGAGGCGGCGCGGGCCGTACCAAGCGCACACCCGAGGGGGAGCAGCCAGGCGAGCTCAGGCGGAGGAACGCGACGGGCGTCCGCTCGCGCCGCCGCTCTAAAGGTGTGGGCAGTACCACGCGAGTAAGCGTGCAAGGGAGAGGGCGAGGGTGGAGCAAGAACCCAATTGGTCCGAGGAGCTAAATAGGGAACTTTGGAGACAGCCCCGGAGCTCACGGAGCGCTACAACTACGCTCTCCGTAAACAAGAGGGTGGATACCATCCCAACCACCCCGCCCAGAAACGGGGAAAAAGAACCAATGGGCGCGGGGTATACCTAAGGAACAAACATCCTCCAATCCCTGGCCGAGGCGTAAACCTTCAGCCAATCCGGGTCTAGGGGCCAAACCAATAGTCTCGCTGTTGGAGGGGGTGACTTTGGTGTGCATACTGGGAAGCAAGTTGTTTCTGGAAAGCCATGAGGGAAAACAAGACCGAGATTGAAAGGTCTGTTTTCTATAGGAGTTCGCCCAGGTCAAAATTTATGTCATCTCCCCGTTACTCCTGGGAGCACTGTCATTCCGAAGTTTTGGAGGCCGGACTCAAAGCCCCGGACGGAAAACCAAGCGGGGCCGGGCGGGGGTAGCTGACGACAATCCCAGGCGGAGGTGATGCTGGAGGGCGGGGGAGGAGGGCTGCTCGCTAGCTGCGCGGGGCTGGCGCCGGGAAGGGCCCGGCGCGACCGTCGGTGAAGCCCGGACGCTGGCTCCCCACCCCCCACGCGGGCCTCAACCCCATGGCCTCTGGGTCTGGGACTTCTGGACCGGTAGCCTTCCCACCGCGCTGGCAGGCAGCTTCCCGCCATGGAAACTCACGTGGGAGAGTGGCCCAGCCTGGCTCCAGCTGTCGGGCGCCGTATTCCATTGATACTAATTGAGTTACCGCCTTTGCTTACATTCTTCCCCGGACTTGCGTGGTGCCTCCAACCTTGGCCTGTATGCCCTTATTCACTAAGGTTTGGTGTCGCAAACGTTATCATTCCTCCAAAAGACACGTTAGTAATTGCTTTAGAGCCTCTGCACTTACCCTTTCCTTGGCCCGTGCACGTTTCTCATCATCTCACTTGTCCCGTGAGGAGGGCCCTCTCCCTGACCACTGATAAAGCCTCTGCCTTCCCCACACTTCTCCATGGCTGTATCGTCTTTATCATATTTATTATAATATCAAGTGTATCCCAGTTTTCTTATTCCCATACCATTTATTAAAAACTAAAATGATCTGGTTCATTTATTTACCCATTTACTTTTCTCCTGCACCTCTCCAGTAAATCTCCATAAAGGCAAGCATCGCCTGCCTTTTTCTGTGCCTGGCAACGTAGTAGGGAATTTTTTTTAAGGCGAGACTTTTTTTGTGTTGCAATTTTATTTTTTTACAACCTGCAAACAATTGGAATTAATAATACTTAATTGGATTCTTGGGGAAATTAAGTGAGATAATTTATGGAAATATAGCAAGCCCCGGTAGCCACAGGATATCAGTGCTGGTGGTGGTGGTTATTATTGTCAGTTCCCAGAAGTAAATCTGGGATGGCAACCCAAAATGCAATCAGGTTGGTGTAGTCCCAGATCCTTTCATTCATTTCTTGGTGATTCTCCAGGGCAGCCCCAGCTACTGCTGTTAATATATCTCCTTTCTCCTCCCCACCTAACCCATTTTCCTTTCCCTTTCTTGGCAGATGGCCCTGATTGCAGTTTCACTGAGAAGATTAAAAAAAAAAAAAAATCCAGCTCCAGCATCCTCTGCCACTCTTCTCAAAGTATTTCTCTCTCTACCATCAATTTTGTGAAGTGTTGTCAAGTACCCGGAGGAACAGGAGTCTCTTTTCCTTTCGAAGTTGCCAGCCCTTGGCCTGCTGGCTTCATCTCACCTCCATCCAGATCTTTTTGCACTAGTTCCTCCTTTCTGCTTTCAGACTGAATGGAACTGACCTACCTGGGAAATTGGGGGGTAATCTTTATTTATCCCTTCCCACGCTGTTTCCCTTTTCCTCTCATTCCCTTCACTGCCAAAATGCCCAGACAAATCCTTCATGCTTGTTCCTCCCTCTTCTCCAAGGATCTCGTTGATAAGCTCAGTCACCCTTTTCTTAGTCTTTTTTTCCCCCTTGACCTCACTGCAATGCAAGAAAATTCTGACTCACTTTCACCTGTAAAATTCTCCCTTGACATCGCCCTAGTATGGTTCAGTCACCCTTTCTTCCTTGCTGGCTCTTCTTTCTCACTTAGTCCTCTGGGTGGTAGGCATTTGCTCCAGGTTCTATCCTCAACCTTCTCGTTTCCCTTTACCTGCTGTCCTGGGACAACATATTACAATTGCCTGTCCCCAGCCTTGATCTGCTTCATAAACTCTAGCTTCATGTTCCCTCCAACCAGCAAGACATTATCATCCAGAGGACTCATTACCTCTAGTAAACATGTCAAAAAATTTTTGATATTTCCCTTCGAAATCGACTTGTCTCCCTTTTACTCAGTTTTTGTCCACATCACCTTGACTCCTAGGTATGGCTGCCACTTCTCTAACCTCATCTTTAACTCACCTATAGGACTCTCAAAAACCTTTTCTTTATCAGATTCCTCAACTCCACTAACGTGTTTCCATTGCCACCTATCTACATCCTTGCCAAGATCCCTTTGCTAAGTCAACTGCCTTCATTCACCCAGAATCATTGGCGTTCCCCAGGATTTTGTCCTCAGCAGTATCCCTAGGGATACAGGTTGTCTCCTCCCCTTTTCAATTCACGTAGTCAGATGTCAAGTTCTATCGAATCTATAGTTCTATTGAATCTAACTTCCTAATGTCCTAATGAGGCTTTTTAACTTCTGCATCCTCACCATTACTGAGATATTTCCAAGATTATAATTGCTTCTTTTACCCCTACAATAACACCAAATAAATCATTGCCCTTAAAAGTGGTTATAATAATTAAATGAGATAATCCGTCTAAGGCATTCAACATAATGCCTGACCCATGGTAAGAACTATTATTATACACTGATCAGATATAATCATACAAATACCAAATCGTGTTGCACATCTGAAGCTAGTATAATGTTATATATCAATTATACCACAATTTAAAAAGAAATAACCAATACGCCCCAGTTCCTGCATTTCCAAGTCCTAACTCTAAGCTGCATCTATACTGCTCTGCCCAGTATAGTAACCCATCACAATCCCCCCATCCAAGCTCTAGACACTTTCACATTTTCAATGTGCAGTAAGCACAGTTGATGTTTTTTCTTCTCCCGGAATGCCTTTCTTTGTCCTCAGCCATTCAAATCCTCCCCCTTTCTTCAGGTAACAAGACAAGTCCTACTTTATTGATACCTTCTAGATCTTGGCTTGTACTCTTCAATATGGTAAGTCACCAACTCTATGTAACTTTTTTAATTAAATAAAATTAAAAATTCAGTTCCTCAGTTGTACAGGCAGCATTTTGAGTCCTCAGTAACTAAATGTGGCTAGGGGCTTCTGTTCTCATCAGTACAGAGTGAACACTCTCACTATATAAAATTATATTGAACAGTGCTGATCTAGACCATGACCACAGTAGAGTTACCAGCCACTCCATGAACTGCTATAGGACTTCTTTGTGTTAGGTCATTTAATTCCTAAGTGCGTAGTGTTCCTCTCTTCTTGGTTAATTTTTCCAGTATGTTCCTTGTTTACTCAATTAGGTTGTTAGCTCCTAGGTTGGGGCTGACGGTTTTTTTTATTTAATCAGCATAGAAAAAGTGTTTTAGGTGTTTGTTAAAGGAAAGAGTATAAATAAGAGGAGAAGAGGCTTCAAATTTAACCGGGGAGAGAAAAAAAGTACTTGTAAGGGCAGAGATCTTTATGTTCCCTCTTTAGTTTGTATTGGCCCTTCCTACCCAGTGCATAATTGCTTTAAGCCTATACTTTGATTTCTCAAAGTAGGATCTCTAGAATCAAGAGGGGGAAAAATCAGTTTTCAGAACAACTGCAGATTCTTTTTCTATGGTTGCATTTTCACCACACAACAAAAAATAATTCACACATGGCACCTGGGTGGCTCAGTCCATTGAGCATCTGACTTCAGCTCAGGTCATGATTTCACAGTTCGTGAGTTCGAACCTCATGTCAGGCTTTGCGCTAACAGGACAGAGCCTGCTTTGGAGCCTCTGCCTCCCTCTCTTTCTGCCCCTTCCCCTCTTGTGTGTACTCTCTCTCTCTCTCAAAAATAAAGAAACATTAAAAAAATTAACACACAAACAAAAACCCCACTCTAGTATCAAATGGACTCCTGCCCCCCTTATTCTGTTCAATCTGAAGAACCTCTCATTTACAATCATTCTGGACCTTGGTCTTTCCCTTCACTTTAAATTGGATTCTCTGTAACATTTAAGTAAACATTAATGAAAAGAAAGGAAAACAGAATGCCCTTTGTCTTCTGACCAAAACACATATTCATTATAAGGAAATTAGAAAAAAAAATACATAAAGATCTCATGAAATCCCAGAAGCCAGAAAAAAAAATGAGTTTTAACATTTGGGGTGAATTTCCAGAGTTTTTCCTGTGTGTACACATATACCCATATGTGCATTCTCATAAAATATAGCTCTTTTTATATATATTTTGTAAACTGCGTTTGTTGTCCACTTAACATTTCTCTAAGAAAAAAAAAGTTTTTAGAATGCTTTTTTTTTTTTATTAATCTCTACAGCCAACATGGGGCTTGAACTCATGACCCCAAGATCAAGAGTCACACAGTCTTCTGACTGACCCAGTCACATGCCCCAGAACTGCTTTTGACATCTTTTGAAATGTTTAATAGCTGTTGCACATAACTAGAGCTTAGCACTCACGCTTATTCAACATATCTCATATTAATACTTTTCACTCTTGTTTATACTTAAAAAACCTGATATTACACAAAGGCAAGATCGAGAAAGTCAAGGGGCACCTGGCTAGCTCAGTCAGTTTAGCACAGTCATGGGGTCACACCACATGTTGTGCTCTGCACTGACAGCGCAGAACCTGCTAGAGAGTCTCTCCTTCTCTCTCTGACCCTCTCCTGCTCAGGCTCTCTCTCTCAAAATAAATAACCTTAAAAAAAAAAAAGAGAACAATCTGAGAAAAAGTCAAAATTTCATCTTTCAGAT